AAGACTTCCTGCCCTGGTTTTCTGAAATAACTTTTTTCCCCTCACTGAGTTCTCTATCTGTTCCAGTCTTTAACTAGTATGCTACATGTTTTCAAATCCTGTGAGAATAATGATCTATGGAAAACCTGGTATTGTACATTAGGAATATCAAAGTTCCTAATAAGAACTTCAAAAAATTATCTGAAATCAACTATTAAAAAATTGAAAACAAAATACTATGAGACGGCTTCCCTGGTGACGCAGTGGTTGAGAATCCACCTGCCAAGGCAGGGGACACAGGTTCGAGCCCTGGTCTGAGAAGATCCCACATGCTGCAGAGAGCAACTAAGCCCATGCACCACAACTACTGAGCCTGCACTCTAGAGCCTGCGAGCCACAACTACTGAGGCCTGCGTGCCTAGAGCCCGTGCTCCGCAATAAGAGAACCACAGCAATGAGAAGCCCGTGCACCGCAATGAAGGGTCCCCCGCTCGCTACAACTAGAAAAAGCCCAGGTGCAGCAACGAAGACTCAACGCAGCCAAAAATAAAAATAAATAAAATAAATTTTAAAAAATACTATGAGAGACAAATTGTCACAATACAGATGTTAAGACACGCTAGGACAAGTGCTGGCTTGAGATCGTCAATTATTCACTTGTCTGTCACTGCATAATTATCTAAACCCATGCTATTTCAAACAACGTTTTAATCTTGAGGATAAACCACAGCAGTTTACAACAACACACCTACGGTTCAGGATAAACTACAGAAATTGGTAGAGAGCTGATGAAGAGTTAATGGTATCCTCTAAGGCACTGTGCCTCTATTTTTAATGTGCATACACATCACACCTAATGATGATTCACCAGGTCTAGTTGGGGCCTGATTCCTGCATTCTTCACAAGCTCTCATGTCAGGATGACCCTGCTGCGGTCGTGGACCACACTTGTAGTAGCAACGATCAAAGGGACACCACTGCCCAGAGCTGGGCAGGGTCCTCACCAGTGTCTTAATTAGGCACCAGGATCTGGCCCTTTACTCTGCAAGAGCAGAGACTTGCTCTTGTCAACGCCCCTACAGACACTGAATCACACTAATTAAAGGCACATGAAGGCCAACAGTTCATTTTAGAGTAAATTATAACTGTACACAGACTAGAATATTGGTATTTCTCAATGCTGGCACCTCCAGTACCTCAAACTAATCCCCCTTTGATAATGTACAAACATGGAGCTTCCGGACCTGCAAGGCTTAAAGACTAGGTCCTGGACAGTGGCAATGTCATCAAACTAGTGTCACTCTTTGAGGCATATCTGACTGGCCAGCTGACACACTACGTGACATCCTGATCAGCTATCTCTACTTACAACAAGCAGGAAAGTCAACCTGTAGAAATCAACAAGGGATGAACAACACAATGGAACTGAAATCTAAAAATGAATACACAAGAATTTAGATTTTTCCTATTTGTTTTGTTTTTAGGTGGAAGAGTCTAATGACTAGCCACCAAAGGAAAGAGTAAATCTGTGAGAGCAATGCTCTGTTTCCCTACCCACAGTATTTCTAGGACCCAGAAGTATCTCTGACCCACAGAATGCACCCAGTGCATATTTACTGAGTAAATGAACAAATGAGTATTTAAGGAGGGTTGAAGTTAATTTCTTTGGTATTTACATCTTAATACCAAGGATTCCAGGGAGCTATATAGAACTGTTCTTAATGATTTCAACATCAGTTACTCCAGGCTGACTGTAAATATTATCTGATTTCCTGAAGACAACGAACATCTCTCTAGTCTTTAACGTATTCAAACAGTAAGAGTTACAGACTACCCTTCATTCCTACACAGAACTTCCTTTTCTCTGAAGACAGAGGGTAGGGCTTAAACTTAACCACAAGAAGAGAAACTGCTACATGCTGGCAGTTGTTTTTCACACTAAAAGATTGACAGTAAAAAACTCCTGTTCCTTCTAAATTTTCATAGCCATGATTTCCTAACAGGAGGCAAATTTCATGAGAGATGTTTAAAGGGTAAGAAACAAAAGCAAAGATTAAAAGTATGCCAAGAGTTCTTGAAAAGGTTAAACAAAGAGTTACCACACGACCCAGCAATTCCTAAGTACTAAAAGAACTGAAAACATGTCTACACGAAAACTTGTACATGAATGTTCACACCAAGATTATTCATAAGAGCCAAAACGTGAAAATAACTCAAATACCTATCAGTTGACGAATGGATAAATAAAATGTGGTATATCCACACAACAAATATTATGCAGCCACAAAAAGGACTAAAGTACAGCTACATGCTACCTCATGGATGAACCTTGAAAACATTACGCCTAAGTCAAAGAAGCCAGCCACAAGGGGCCACAGACAGTATGGTTCCATTTATATGACGTGTCCAAAATAGGCAAATCCAAATAGAGACAGAAAGTAGTTTAGTGGTTATCAGGGGCTGGAAGAGTGACAGCTAACAGGTACGGGATTTCTTTTTGAGGTGATGAAAATGTTCTGGAATTAGTGGTGACGGCTGCACAACTTTGCAAATACACTAAAACTGCTGAACTGTATATTTTAAGGTATGAATTTTATGGTATGTAAATTACATATCAATTTTGTTAAAAATCCTATGCCAAAAGGAAACAAAACTGGCAAGTAAAAAATATACACAAGGGGCTTCCCTGGTGGCACAGTGGTTGAGAATCCGCCTGCTGATGCAGGGGACACGGGTTCATGCCCCGGTCCGGGAGGATCCCACATGCCGCAGAGCGGCTGGGCCCGTGAGCCGTGGCCAGTGAGCCTGCATGTCAGGAGCCTGTGCTCCGCAACGGGAGAGGCCACAGTAGTGAGAGGCCCGCGTACCGCAAAAAAAATATATATATATATACACAAAGGGAGCATCTTTCCTCTCTGCTCTCTCATCCTTCCCTGATTCAAAATCTTTGACTGAAAAGCCATATATTTTATGTAGTTATTCTGAAAATGACTGGAACCCTAAAAATATCCTAACCACTAAACAAAAGCAGCTGCTTATTTTGATCACATTTTTGCAACACTGACCTTCCTTAAAATGCAAGTTGACAGAGGACTTATTCTACAAACCCAAATGCGTACAACCCACTAGAATTAGCTTTGAGGAAGAATTAAAGCTTTTAGAACTAGAAGCTGTTGTAACTGGCACCGGCACAAAACACATTTCAGTTCACAACAGTATGACATTACTCAGTCTAGTCTGAAGGCAATGTCATTAAGAACCTAAGCTAATGGATGTTCTCTTAGTGTCTTCTGTTTCAAGCACAAGACAAATGGTCCTCAAAAACAAAACAAAACCCCATACCAAATTCCACTAAGTTATAGGAAAGTATGTTCTGTCTTTAAATTTTTGGACATAGAATTTAAAAGAATGTAGGTTTGGAAACAATACTAAACCATTCAGGATGACATCATACTAAATTGTTTTAACGTGCTCAATATCACATGAGAAAGTAATAAGCACTTCTCCCAGGTGCTAAGCTCATTCATTTAGTATCACCTCTGTTTCTTAATCCTTGATGCAGTTAAACAATAGTCTCATTCATATGACATCTTAATTGGCTGCAACATTAATCATATAATAAGAGATACTTTAATCTCTTTTTAAATATGCCCTAGAATTAGAACCTCTATTTCAAAACAGCAGAAGGAATAATGCAGATGTTTTCAAGTGGAAATCAAAATGAATATATTGGAAGGCCTTAAAAAGCATTTGTCAAATCAGGATCACCATATCTAGATCTTGCTCCCAGATTTGCTACTACACTACAAAAGATGCCTGGCCTACATTTAAAATCTACAAGAATTTTTAAATGTATAAAACCTAAAGCATGTTGAGTATCCTTAATGATGAGAATATCCAAAGGCACTGTTATCAGAGCACTATTCTACCAGTTGTAATTTTCAGATTCTGTGCAACATGGGAGTTACTAGGATGACAATATATATTAATAACAAATGTGATGTTGAAAAATCCCACTCACTCAATTGATTCCACTCAAACGGAATCCCACTGACTCAAAAAGCACTTATTAAGCACCTGAAGTAATAGTAGCTTGAGGATTATCTGTCCTCCTGCACACTGGCAGTGGGTTATATCTTTTTCTGTATATGTTCCAGGGTGTAGAGAAACCATGTGGCGTTCCTTTATCTTTGATAACCAGGTCCCCATGGAGCAGATAACTGCCGTCACTTAAAAGTATATTTAGCTTCTCCTTTACACTTCTCTCTCTTTAAATCTGTTTTTCCATTTCCCTACACTTTTGTATCCCATCCCCCAGAGGTTTCATTTTCCTTCTTTTGCCCTTCCAACATAGCTTCACCTTAAAATCCAAACTCTCTAGAATGGGATCCCGCTACATGATTTTTTAATGCGTTCAAGATCATATGAGATACTAAGGACTACTTTGACATCACTTCCATTCATTTAGTGTTAACGTTACTACTCCTCCACTCCTCTGTCTCTCCTTAGTACATCCCTTCCACTTGTCCATTCCGCCTCCACTTTGAGCTCTCCCCAAGTCACTGCTACACATTTTCCTCACGCTCTCTAAAATCGCTCTCCATCCACAAGGTAGGTTTTCCAAAGAATCTCCACCTCCCCCAACTCTCTCAATCTTCACTACCCTCTGTGACGCCCTCGGTTTTTGCTCTGGTCCCTCACTCCCCCCAACCTCGGACCCCATCACATCCCCGACACCGCCCCACACAGCTTAGGGTAAGCCCCTCACTCTCTCCCTCGATCCCCCAAATCTGCCCCTTCCTCTTAAGACCCCCGTCC